GGGGCAGCAGTCAGCACCAGGAGGGCGTTTAGGCAGCAGGGGCAGAGCAGGCTCTTGCAGGGGAAGCCCTCCAGGACCCCTTTGCAGGCCCCAACGAGGCGCTCAGTGCCTGTGGCGTTTGCTCTCCCCCCTGCAGCATGTGTTCTGTGTCGCCGGGCTGATTCCGCTCCAGATATCTATGGGGAGAAACGCCAGCAGGACGGTCTCTGTGCCCATGAGAACTGCCTGGTGAGTCTGCCTGGGGCTGCCTCCAGCTTCCCGCGGTGCCCCAGCCCAGCAGCCTGCCATCTCCACACCCAGCCGGGCAGCATCGGCACGTGGGGGTGTACCTGGCTCTGTGGCTGTACAATCTCATCCCCAGAGCTCTGTGGGTGTCGATTCCTCCTTGACACCTCCTGCACCTCCTGGAGTCCCTTTGCTGCGCTCTGCTCGGACTCTCATCATCTGCCCCAGCATGGCGTGTGCTCAGCTCAGCAGGGCCCAGCGCTGCCTGCAGGAGTGCCCCCCGGCCCCTCACCAGGGCACTGCGCCACTGCCTTCCCAGCCCACAGCACAGCCTGGCCGCCCACCTCTCCCGCTCTTTGGGCTACTTGTTGCAGAGCAGCTCAAAGGCCCATGGCAGCTCACCCAGCACCAGGGAACTGAGCATGGCTTGCCCCAGCCCTCTGGCCAGCATCTCAGCACCATCCACCAGCAGTGGGCCATGCCTCCCTGACCTACTGAGCTCTGGGACGTTTCTGTTTTTCAGCATCTTGCCAGTGGGCTCCCTGTGAGACGCCCCAATGACATGGGAGCTGACGAGTTCCTTCCTGCGGATATCAGGCGGGCAGTGAAGCGGGCAACTCGGAAGGTGAAGACCTAGCCCCTAGGGGTGTGGGGAGGTCTGTGCTGGGACAGATTTGTGCAAGCTCAGCCTGTGCCATGGGAAGGAAATCCAGGGGGTTTTCATCGGCTCTAGGCAACACTCCCACCAGTCCCAGGAGCTCCAGAGAGCTTTCCGCAGAAGCAGAAACCTCAGTCCCCGAGGTGACTCTGCAGCATGTGACCCAGCAGTGCCCAGATGGCTAGGGACTTCCCAAAGGTGTGGGGCAGGTCTTGGGGGCCCCAAGCGTATCTCTGATGGGGGCTGCTGTGCTCCTTCCAGGTCTGCTATGTCTGTGGTGAGCGGGGGGCCACTGTTACATGCTGGCAGAAGGGCTGCAAGCGCAGCTTCCACTTCCCCTGCGGCCGCGAAGATGGCTGTGTCTCGCAGTTCTTTGGGCAGTACAGGTAGGAGCTGACGAGCCTCGTGCTGGGCCGCCTCTGCCTAATCCACCCTCCAGCTAGCGCTGGCCAAGCAGGCGAGGCAACTGCTTGCTGTGCCCCACAGTGACCCTCCGAGAGCCCTGCCACAGCCAGAGGCAGGGCATGCAGGTCTCCTTGATGTCCCTTTGTCCCTTCTCCTGGTGCAGGAGCAGAGTGGGAGGGTGTGCTCTCAGTAAGGCCTTGGCAATGCTTTGTTCTCAGGCCCCGGGCACCTGGGGATGCCCTCCAGGCTCCGGGCTGGAAAACCACTATCTTGGCCAGCCTCCTCTCTGCAGACAAGGTCCCCACCTCGGTTGGTGTGAGCGTGCCACGGCCCATCTCAAAGGCCTGACGCTCAGGCCTCAGCCAGAACCTGGTGCCGGGGCCCGTGGCTGGGATATTCTTTAGGGGAGGAAGGGGATGAGAAGAGAGACATACGCATGCTGCCCAGGGAGCAGCCAGCCTCTACACCCTTTGGGGTTGTCTTATCTAGAAACGTGCACAGGCTCCACACATGCTGACCTCGTCCCCCTCTTCCAAAATCTTCTGCCCAGGTCCTTCTGCCGGGAACATCGCCCAGAGCAAACAGTACAGGCACAGCAGGATGGGGAAACCTCCTGTCTCATTTGTCTGGAGCCCGTGGAGGAAAAGCTATCCCACCATACGATGGTGTGCCCTGCGTGTACGCACGCATGGTTCCATCGGGGCTGCATCCAGGTAGGAGGCCCTTCCCACACCCCTTTGGCATGGCAGGTGCCCATCAGGGAGCAGTGTCCCCCTCACCCTGGTTGTGACTCTCTTGCAGCAACAGGCTCTCCGCTCTGGGCTGTTCTCCTTCCAGTGCCCCCAGTGTAAAGACAGCAAGAAATTCCTGCCAGAAATGTCTTCCTTGGGAATCCGAGTCCCCATCAGGTTTGTTCTCTGCTGCCCTTGCCCTGTGCCCACAAGACATGAGAAGGGCACGAGAGTAAAGGTGTAGCAGGGGAGGCCAGAAGGCCAGGCAGCATTTTAACCTAGGGGCAGGGGAGGCTCAAGACCTTCCTTTCCCTCCCCTGCAGACAACCCGCATGGGAGGCAGACGGTGCCTTCGCAGAACTGTATCAGAGGCACAACCGATGTGATGCTAGCCAGTGCCTTTGTGCAGGGGGAAGAGGACAGGCAGAAGCAGCTGGGTAAGGCACCAAAGCAGCAATCTCCTGCTCCCCATGTGGTGGCAGGTGCCGTACTCCCACTCTCGGCAGATGTCTGAAGGTCTAAGCGAGGTGGCTGGACTACCTCTAGGGGAGCATGGGCAGGGAAAGGGACGACCCTTTGCCATGGGGCTGCTGAGCTGCCAGGGCAGGAGGGGTGCCCCTGCTAGCACGCACCAAGTAGTCCTCCAAGCAACTGGTGGTGCTTCTGGAGTGGTCCTTCACCTCGCCAGGTGTCTGGGAGCAAGGACTCTTGGCACTCACTGTCAGCGCCCACTCAGGGCGCTCTGCCAGCCATCCTCTTGCTCAGGACACTTTTCCTGGGCTGTCTCGCTGCTGTCGCTGCCAGCCTTGGCTGTCCTGGCCACCAATGTGTTTGCTTTCCCAGGCCCTGGTACCTGCTCCTCTGCTCCTCCTGTGCTGCCAGGGGCACCCACCGACGCTGCTCTGCCTTAAGGGCCACCGCAGCCACGTGGGAGTGTGATGGCTGTGCGGGCCTGGGCACTGGTAAGAGGAGAAACAAGGCCCCTCACCAGCTTCTCCCGTGCCAGAGCCAGGGGCCAGACAAGGCCTGCCCGTGGTGGCTCAGGGTGGGCTTGGCAGAGTCTCTCTACTGCTAGGGGGGCACCGCTCCAGCCTCCCCTTCCCTAGGAGCATGGGGCTTTGCCACTGACCTTCTGGCCTCTCCTTGCAGCCTCCTGTGCACAGCTGGAGACAGCCAGCTCCAGCAACACCAGCCAGCCGGCATCGTCCCCCAGCTGCACGGCTCCTGTGAGCAGCAGCCAGGCAGGCCAGACTGGGCCAGAGCAAAGGCCAAGCTGCTCACGGTTACGACGCCGCCCACGAAATCCTTACAGCCGGCCCTGAAGAGCCAGCGCTGCCCCAGCACAACCGCACTCCTTCTCGGCAGCTCTGCCGGTGGGGCCTTGGGGCCACCAGTCCCAGCCCCCGCCAGAGGCAGTCCTGCGGGGCCTGCTGTGTTCACCCAGCCTGTGTCCACCAGTCCCGCTGCACAGCCTCACGCGGGAGGGATGCCGTCTTCCGGCCACGGGGAACCACACTGTGTCTGCTTCTCAATAAAGAGAATTGTTTACTGGTCTTATGGCAAGAGCTATGGCCTTGAAGTTACAAGTGAGCCATCAGGGGGAGAGTGAAATTAATCACGTTTTTCATCTGTTTTTCTCCTCATCTTGGAGGCTATCTCTAAGCACGTGAAGGACAAGAAGGTGATCAGGAGTAGTCAGCGTGGATTCTCCAAAGGGAATCATGCTTAACCAAGCTGATAGCCTTCTATGAGGGAACAACTGGCTGGGTAGATGAGGGCAGAGCAGTGGATGTTGTCTACCTGGACTTCAGCAAGGCCTTTGACACCATCTCCCGTAACATCCTCATAGATAAGCTCAGGAAGTGTGGGTTGGATGAGTGGGACAGTGTGGTGGATGGAGAACTGGCAGAGCTCAGAGGGTTGTGATCAGT